CATACCTGTCGCATTGAGCCACGAAAATGAGTATAACGACTCTGGTTACTGTTAAATAATTTCTTACCTGTTCGCTTACCTGTAGTCACTTACATGTGCGTCTACACACTCTGACATACCTTATACGCTACGTTCCATATACAGTTATTTTTGAAATGACCCCTGTATTTGCATGTCTGGGTCTCTGTCTCCACGCTCCGTGCTAGGTCTACTCCAAAATGAGAAAGGTCTAGTTAGACCTTCCGACATGCTTCTTGTAATTTAGATTTATTTCTGTTTCGATAAGTAGTGTCCATTGTGTAAGCCCATTATACTAAGCGACATATCTTATCATAGTGACATGTGCATACAGTAAAATGATTCTAGACATGTTTCATACTTTTGGAGAAAAGACATCTAAGACCCGATTCAAAGGGTCTGTTACGGCACGATTTCTCACCAAGGTGAGAAATCGTGCTAAAATTGCTGATATCGCAACATAATTTCTCATCCCTGCACTATTTCGGGTGAGAAATCGTGTTAGCAGCAGGCATATTATCCGTTGTCATTAGTAAGAACAATGATTTTGATTGTTGGGGATTGTGGTATACTTAGGCTTGTTCTTTTAGAAACTACTGCGCAAACTTCAAACTTTTTCAAACTTCAAACTTGTTCAAACTACATTGTTTTTAGTTCACCTGCCCGAAGGGCAAGTGAGCTTATGTCGTGGTGCGGCGTCCGTCGTCCGTCCGTCCGTCCGTCTTCGTCCGTCAACTTTTCCTTTGAACAACTTCTTCTGAAGAACGGATATGCCTAGAGTCATGATATTTGGCTGAAAGCTTTGTTGGTAGGAGCTCTAGTTTGAGAACGAAAATGACCTTGTACTTTAAAGGTCACAGGGGTCAAATATGTCAAAAACTTCAAACGACTTCTTCTGAAGAACTAAAAGGTATAGAATCTTCATATTTGGCTGATGGCTTCCTGGGATGGAGCCCAACAAAGTTTGAGAAAGAAATTACCTTGACCTACTTTCAAGGTCACAGGGGTCAAATATGTCAAAACCTTCAAACAAATTCTTCTGAAGAACTAAAAGGTATTGAATCTTCATATTTGGCTGATTGGTTCCTGGGATGGAGCCCAACAAAGTTTGAGAAAGAAAATTACCTTGACCTACTTTCAAGGTCACAGGAGTCAAATGTGTAAAAACCTTCTAATAACTTCTTCTGAAGAACTGAAGGATATAAAATCTTTATATTTGGCTGGTGGCTTCCTGGGATAGAGCCCAACAAAGTTTGCGAATGAAAATTAGTTTGACCTACTTTCNGAATCTTCATATTTGGCTGATTGGTTCCTGGGATGGAGCCCAACAAAGTTTGAGAATGAAAATTACCTTGACCTACTTTCAAGGTCACAGGAGTCAAATGTGTAAAAAGCTTCAAATGACTTCTTCTGAAGAACTGAAGGGTATAGAATCTTTATATTTGGCTGGTGGCTTCCTGGGATAGAGCCCAACAAAGTTTGAGGAAGAAAATTAATTTGACCTACTTTCAAGGTCACAGGGGTCAAATATGTCAAAAACTTCAAACGACTTCTTCTGAAGAACTAAAAGGTATAGGATCTTCATATTTGTCTGATTGGTTCCTGGGATGGAGCCCAACAAAGTTTTAGAATGAAATTACCTTGTTCTACTTTCAAGGTCACAGGAGTCAAATGTGTAAAGAATTCAAATTAATTCTTCTGAAGAACTGAGAGGTATAGAATCTTTATATTTGATTGATGGCTTCCTGGGATAGAGCCCGGCAAAGTTTGAGGAAAAAAATGACATTGACCTTCTTTCAAGGTCACAGAGGTCAACAACATTTTAATGGATTTGTTCTTAAGAACTAAAAGGAATGGATTCATAAGATTTGGCTGGTAGCTTTTGGAATAGAGCTTACCAATTTGAGAAGGAAAATGACATTGACCTACTTACAAGGTCACAGGGAAAAATATGTCAAGCAACTTCTGAAGAATCAAAAAGCATAGAATCTTGTAATAATATTTTGCTGGTAGTTTCAACAGATGGAGTCAACAAAGTTTGTGAGGGAAATATTTTTAGTGCAATATAATATTTAATGAGAATATTTTGCTATGACTGCTTAAATATTCAGGTGAGCGATACAGGCCCTCTTGGGCCTCTTGTTTAATTTTATCTCAACATCTTTGACTTACAATGGTATACACAAATATGTAACATACACAGATTTTATGTATAAGCATAAGAGGGATACAAGTATCATAGAAATAGCGGTGTAGTGCAGCTACATATATGTAATACATGTAGTCACTAATCATATTCGATGTCAAGTTTCCGATCAGATCTAAATCATGGCCTATCATTTGCTGAGTCATTTCAGGCTATAATAATTTCTGTTCTGATTTATGAACCACAATAAAGGTTGTTTAATTGAATATTTTAATGGTGGTCTTGAAGTTGGGAAAAAAGGCCAACATCTTCCGCAAAATGGCGGCTGCAGACTACTACTGCGATCTGCGTTGATTTAGGTCGGGTCCTGATTGGTCGTCATTTAGATATTGACCGATGTTATAGATTTGGTATGCAGATGCATTATTTAGGGTTGTCAACGGTTAACCGGTTACTCGGCCGAAAAATCACGTACCGGTTACCAAAATCAATAAACGAATAGTTGGATATCTTAACCCTTTTGTGAGCCCCATGTTTCCCTGGCTTAGACCTACAAATTACCTGCATTTGTATAGAGCACGGCTTAGTTTTTTCATGAAAGGGGTTAAAAAGAGTCAAAAACAGTGATATCTTGAAACAAGTATGCACCGCAATCAATGCTGTACAGTTGTGTGTACATGACAAAGCCGTATGTTGTGTTGCCTTCTATGGTTTCTTGAGGTGTGGTGAATTAACCGTCAACCAAAACAACTTTGACCCTACCATTAATTTATGCGTGGGTGACATACATATACAGTCAGACGATTTACTCAAGGTGTGTCTCAAATCTTCCAAAACGGACCATGCTCGGAAAGGGGTAAATATTTTAATATTTGCCAAAGGACTATCGGTGTGCCCGCATAAAGCATTATGCAAATATTTAGACATGAGGAAAAAGATGACAAATGTAAATGGAGATTCACCATTGGTTGTAACCAGCGACAATGCAGTGTTATCACGGAATGTATTTATTCAAGTCTTAAAAACAATATTGGGAACAATCGGATTAGACACTAAATTATACAGCGGACACTCGTTCCGCATAGGGGCCGCTACGACATGCGCTACAGCAAACGTAGCCGATCACCTGATAAAAACCTTAGGGCGATGGTCGTCAGACTGTTACCAGAGGTACATCAAAACAGCACCAAAAACAATTAGAGAGGCCCAACATAACATGTCCAAAACATAACGGTAACATTAATCCACACTATGTACGAATTGTGCACTCATATTAGACAGTGATTAAATCACCATGTGCAGTTATTGCCTGATATCATGAATTATTTTACATTTATTCGTGGACTAGTATCATATATGAGTGTGAACACTGACAATGGTGCCTTCACAACCTTGAGTGGGCGAGTGACGTTTATCTGTATTAGTTTTTGACGCCCATGTAATGTCAACCAGGTACCGTATGCTGTATTTTTAATTCTTAATGTAAATACTGTAAATTATTTATGTTATTGTGTATATTTTATGAGCATGTCTCATGATTTTCATGTTATGATTTAATTTAGGAAAATAGAATATCATGTATTGTACCCCAGATGGTGTACATGTAACGTTATACTATATGCAAACACAGCACAATCTAAATAATCTACAGTAGCTAGTAAGTGATGAAATAGAGAGTGATGTATACGGTTTACCAAGAGAACTAATAGTATTATGTTAACCAGCAATATATATAAATGTATAAGTATTAACTTGGGGGCTTTTCAGCTGCACACAAGCACATACGAGAGGTATAAGGTACAGCTTTAATTTGGTAGGTATACAACACATATAATGTGGTGTATTCAGCCCCCATGTTAAATTACAGACTCTATACCTACAATAAGGTACCTATACAATTTAGGTATCACATTATAGATCGTGGATTTCCCACATAAGGAATCATAATGAGGATTCGGTATCAATTTGACCACGGATCTTATGGTCCGAATCCATGGTTTCAGGAGACGTCCTACATAGAGCTAGATATCATACAGACTCGAGGTTTTTCTAGGTTCATATTCCAGATGATAGTGGCATCATGATGTACAGCTGCGCATGGTCCATTTACAGGGTTGAGGATTGTCGGGAACTATCTCTAATAAGAGTCTGTATGATCAAGGGAAAACTCCTCCAGCCGTGGGATCAGGGGTGCATGTTGCTCCTGGTTGAGATCACGTCCGTAATCTGGGAGTTTTCCCCAGTTGTTTGCATTGTATATAATAAGTGTAGATGATATAGCCCCCAAGGCCAAAGTTTTATTTGTGTTATATGAATGTATGATGTTGCAAAATGTATTAGATTTAATTAGAAGTGTTAACTCATATGATCACAATGTTCATTCATGTTGCATTGTGCAGTTAATAAATTACATTTATCTGACTGTATAATAGTGTTCTGGTATAAACTTAAATTTGTCTGATATTAATAAGTTGATAAAAATATCAGACAAGCGTTTTTTTATGGAATAACATATTTTGATATGAAATAGTAAAAATATATTTTGCTGTGTCTTTTTTTTATATTACCTTATGTTGGATCCTTGAAAACGTATCTTTGCAGGATACAAGTTACTTAAAATTGGTGTATGTGGCAAGGAAATAGATCGAATAGTGTGGCCAATATGAGGTTGGTAAATTTTCGGAGCAGTCAGCTCCTTAGCAAGACAAAGAAAAAACGCAGTTCATTAACATTACATAAAACCAAAAATAGAAATATAACAGGATATAACTAAGATTTGAAAATAATAAGCCCCTCGGCTAGCGTAAACTGCAGGCAGGAATAACAATGTACATACCTTTTCGCCAATGTAATATACGCATCCATTCGAATGAGATTTGTTTGGAAGGTGAATGTTTTGAAAAGTGTATAACATACGACTACGTGCAGCATGAGCTATATGCCATTTCGAGTAAACCTCAAGCTAGTTCACATCCGATCCAAATATCCAGAAGAGTCGATACGTCTGAAGTCATGTGAATACACTAAACTCACATGAGGTTAAGGACGCCTCATGAATTAGATCCAATATAATGACATGACTGGAGTTAAAAATCTCAACTTAGCGTGGGCTGCGTGTAATAGATACCTGCTGTCGGACTTCGATGTTAGACCTTTCCCGCGTTCCAGCGGCTCTGGTGGTGGTTTCGTTGTTCTTTTTTGGAAAGATGTGTCCCAGTTTTTGACTTTCCTTAAATGTGTTGGAGATACTTTGGTTTGGACTAAACTGTCTGGATTGTCCCAGTCAGACTTATATATATGTTTGTCATACATACCCCCAGGAAATAATGTTTATTACAATTTGTATGATATCGATTTATTAACATGTCTTGAAAATGATATCGCTGAATATTCTGCTTTAAAAATGTTATAGTGACCGGCGACTTGAACAGTCGTATAGGAACCAGATCTGATTTTGTTGCCCATGATGGTATACATGATTCGCTGACTGACAGACTGTCTGACCTGTTCGAGTATGATGCTGACGTCGTTATGCCTACCCGACGGTAAGAGGATACGGTTGTTAACACTTTTGGGCGAAGACTCATTATCCAATTATGTAAATCCAGTGGAATTCGTGTGTGTAATGGCAGAAAGCCTGATGATGTATCTGGTCGTTTAACATTTTTTTAATCATTTAGGCTCAAGTGTCATTCATTATGTACTCATTGACAAATCATGCTTTAAAACTGTAAACAGGTTGAAAGTTTGTGATTTTAATGTATGGTCCGATCATGCACCAGTTGAATTTTGTGTCCATTGTGATAACCTGAATGTAATTGATAGCGATTTTGCTTATAAAAACGAAACACATACTGTGTATAGATGGAATGACTCTGATATAGAAAGAATGCGTGAAGTATTAGTTACCAAACAAAATGAGTTAAATGAAATGGTTACGTCACTGGAGAACAATTCTGTACATGTAAACCAGTGTGTAGTAAACTTGTCTTCCTTGTTGTGTGATAAGACTTTTTTCGTACAAATCCAGCTTAAACCTTGGTTTGACGATCGTTGTAAGTTTTTATACAAAAGATATATGAAAGCGCTTGCTGACTTTAATTTTGCGCGTATTCCTGAAAAAGGAGTGTTTTGGTGAATAATAAGCGTATGTTTAAAATGAACGAGCGCAAGATGAAAAGAAGATTTAAGACGCATGAAGGTAATAGAATGAATAACTTGCGTAGAGCAAACCCGAAACAGTTTTATCGTTTATTTAAAAAATGCAATGCAAATGCTGTTACAAATTTGTCTATAAAAGTTTTTATGATCAATTTAAAAAGGATTTTGATGCTGATGAGAATAATTCTGATGATATGGAATACAATTCTGATGAATGTATATTTCTCGAATTAGACAATGAAATCACAGAGACTGAAATTTTAAATGTCATAAAAAAGTCCAAGCCGAATAAGTCGCCAGGCTTAGACAATCTACTTAATGAATATTTTGTGAATTTTAAAGATGTTTTTGTGCCATTGTTAAAACGATTATTTAATTTGATTTTCACTGGAGGTATATTTCCAGAGTGTTGGTCACGTGGTGTTATCATTCCACTACATAAACAAGGTAATTTCAATGATACCAATAACTATAGAGGCATAACTTTAGTAAGTTGTCTGTCGAAACTGTTTACCTCTATTCTTAATCACAGATTGTTACAGGGGTGTCAGCGTTTCAGTTGACAGATTTTGCGTTT